GCCGACTGACGCGGTGCCGACTGACGCGGTGCTGCCGACTGACGCGGCGCTGCCGACTGACGCGGCGGCCACGGCCCCATCAGGGGCCTCCGTCTTGATGGCGCCCGGGGCGACGGTGTCGGCCGGCGGCCTCTCCGCCTGCGGCGGCTGTTGCTCCTGCGGCGGCTGTTGCTCCTCCGCCTGTAGCTGCGTGGCGGGCGCCTCCGCTTTGGGCTGGAGGGCCGGGACAGGCGGCAGCGAGGTTGGTGCCGCGGGGCCGCCGCCTGTTGCCTCGGCAGCGGCTGTTGCTTCCGGGCTGTTCTGCTGCGGCGGCGCGGCTGCTTTCACCTCGACAACAGGCGGCGCTTCGGGCTGCTCCGGCACCGACTTCACCTCGACAACAGGCGGCGCGCAGGGCAGGGCCGGCGGTGTCGGCTGGACAACAGGCGCCGCTTTGGGCGGGCTCCCTGGGGCCGCTGTCGCCTCGACAGGCGGCGCGGCGGTTGTCACCCGAGGCTCAACAACCGGCGGGGCCTTGGCGAGCGGCTGTGCGGCCAGGCGGGTGTCGACAACCGGCATGGCCTTGGGGAGGCCCTGCGGTGACGCTGTTGCCGGCGTCACCTCGACAACAGGCGGCGCCTTGGGTGACGGCGGCGGCGCCGGCTTGACGTCAGCAACAGGCGCATGCGGCTGTGCGGGTGTTGCGGAGCTCACGTCGGCTACAGGCGGCGCGGCGGGYGGGCCGGGCTGCGTGGCTGTTGCGGAGTTCACCTCGGCTACAGGCGGCACTTGGGGTGGATCCGGCTGTGCGGCTGGTGCGGCGGTCGCCTCGGCAACAGGCGCCGCCTTCGGGGGCTCCGGCGGCGCCGCGGTCACCTCGGCAACAGGCGCCGGGGCCGCTGTTGCCGGCTTCCCGTCAGGTACAGGCGGCGGGCCCGCGGTGCTGTCAACAACCGGCGCCGCCTGCGGGAGGCTCTGCGGCGACGGGGCTGTCGCCTTCACCTCAACTACAGGCGGCGGCTCGCACGGTGTTGCCACTTTCTCCTCGGCAACAGGCGCCGCCTTGGGGGGCGCCTGTGGTGACGGTGTTGCGGGCGCTACAGGCATCGCCTTGGGCAGCGCCTGCGGTGACGGTGTAGCCGGCGGAACAGGCATCGCCTTGGGCAGCCCCTGCAGTAGCGGTGTAGCCGGCGCTACAGGCATCGCCTTGGGGAGGAGGCTCTGCGGTGACGGTGTAGCAGGCGGAACAGGCATCGCCTTGGGCAGCCCCTGCAGTGACGGTGTTGCGGGCGCTACAGGCATCGCCTTGGGGAGAGTCTGCGGTGATGGTGTAGCCGGCGCTACAGGCATCGCCTTGGGCAGG